ATTAGCCTAGTGAGCCGTGGCACCGGCCTACGTTGAAGCTTGTTTGCACAGTGTACTTCCTCAGTGCCATGCTCTGCTGGGAAATGCGCCTCTCCCTTGCTTATAGAATGTCCTTCAGCCACCGAGAGCCCGCCGCCCGCTGCTCTCCCTGATCACTTATCCAGCAAAATGTGGAATAGAACTCCCTCTGTTTACTTTTGCTGGAGGGAATAAAGTCGCCTGTCTGAAGGCATCCCTGAGAAATGGAGCCGTGCCACCACCAGTCTGGCCAGTTGTTCCCCACAGCGTCCGCTGATGTGAGGAGGAGGGCGGGAGTAGATCCTACACAGCAGTGGAAACAGGAATGGGGTAAACACTGCGTCACTGACGTTCAAGGTCTTGAAGAATGTTCTCTCTCCCGCCTTTAGCCCTGGGACTTTCAGACATCTGGTTTGTAATTTGCTTCCCTGCTGCTCTTCATATTAATAAATGGCACTTGAGCCTCTTGTGGTGGCCAAGGTCAACCCTAATGTCGCTTACTATTCTCACATCATGTTTGACTTGGCAGTGCCAAGATAAATATGGCTTTAAGTGCGTCTCACTTTTCAAATATTTAACTAGCAAGCCCTACCCCATGCATCGTGGTGATCCAAGTGGGTGTGCTGCGTCTGGCTCAGTGTTAGTATGTGAGATGCATGGATGATGCTGAATGTAGCTACCTTGTATCCTTATTTTTATTCCCGTGTGCTATTCCTTTGTACAAATGCATGCAAACACACCTCTCTGTGCCATTGGTTAGATAGTTCTACTGTTGGTGGACATCGCAACTGTTGCCAGTTTTTAACTATTATAAATGACACATAGCCTTGCATATTCTTGGGCATGATTTTTAGCGGCCATGTATACTTATTCCCTCTCTCTCTCTCTGTTTTCTTAAATATTTATTTATTTGAAAGGATGAGTTACAGAGAGTGAGAGGAAGATAGAGAAAGAGAGAGGGAGAGAGAGACAGACAATCTTCTATCAGCTTGTTCAATCACTAAACGGCCACAGCAGCCAGGGCTGGCCAGGCGGAAGCCAAGAGCTTGGAATTCCATCGGGATCTGTCACCTTGCTCATCTGCTGCTGTCCCAAGCACATTTGCGGGAGCTGGCTTGGAAGCAGAGCATCTGGGTTTCTAGCTGGTCCTAATGTGGGATGCCAGCAGTGCAGTTGGCGGCTTAACCGGCTGTGCCATGACACGGGCCCTCCACTGCTCATTTGCTTTGATACAAGCCCAGGAGTGGATTTCTGGAACATTCCAAGTCATGTCTTTGCTTCCCTAAACTGATTCAGAGTTAGATTCTTCGGGATCTCTTCCTCTAGGGATGACGGAGGAGGAAACCTGGCCTCTTCAAACTGGAACCCCTCTGCTCCGAGGAGGGCTTTGTTCAGGTTCAAAGGTAGACACTCCCATTAATTTAGACTTTTCTTCACTCTCTACCTACACACCTGGAAGGCAACATCAAAACCAGACAGATGGCTTGGCACTGACTATTTTTCCAGACATGAAAGATGTTGTATTTTATGGCTTTGTTAACTACCAGGAGATCTCTCTGGAGAATTCTAAGGCAGAATTTGCGTTAGCAGAAGCCATCTCATTCATATGTTAATTTTGCCTGTAGGATTGAATCCTGGTTGATCAGCTGGCTCCTCTGCTGTTCTTGTTAGAAAGTGGGGTTGAGCGCCACAGCGGTCAAGATGTCAATAAAAGCAGTGGCCTTGTTGTAGACTGCTGCACAGTCTGGACGTGCAGCTGGCTAGAAGGCCGCACAGCTCCCTGACCGAGCTTGCTAGGGCAATATCAGACACGCTTCCTGCAATCCTGACCCTGAAATAGACTTGTAACACGTGTGTCTGTCAGGAATTGCCAAGTCTTCCTGGAAAATGCTTCAGCGTGCGTTTAATTTTTCTCCTGAGAACGGGTTTTCTTTCCTCATCATCTTTTTGAAAATAAGTATGTTTGGAATCTTGTGTTTATGAAATCTGGGGCTGAGGGGGTGCCCTTCCCGCCTCATGCATGCTCCCAGCTCCCGATTCCTGGTGGATGGCCCCAGCCTGGCCCAGTTTCGTCAAAGGCGCCTGCTCTCCCGTGTTCCCCGGGGGGCTGGTGTGAGCACCAAGTGGCACCCTCAAGAGAAGGCGGGATGTACGCCCGCGGAGGCCTGGTGTCGCTGCTATTTCTTGCCCTTTCCCCTGCACTCTGTCCAAACTGCAGGCCACGGGCAGGCCAGCTTGGACCCGAGCAGGGGAGGCCCTGAGGGAGCTCCTGACACCAGTGCTCAGGCGGAGTGACCGTGCTGAGCCCTGCCTGTGGCCTTGGCCTTCAAACAGCCACCCTCCCACTCCTGCCTCCGGGGGTCTTGCTGCCCTGCCCCCACTGGCAGAACCAGCACCTTGCTCCTGCCACGGGGGCCTCCTCCTCTCTGCCCCACCACATCAGAAAACCCCCCGATCTGTGCAGAATCATATAGCTTTTTAAATAAAGGGTTTTACATAAGGTTAAGGATAAATAGTATTCCAATGCTCACTAGAGAATATGTAGAAAATTAAGCATTCCCCTCCAGGCCTAACCTCCTACAAATATACGTGCTGCATTTTTCCCATGGCCTGGGTTGATGTTTTAGCGGAGCTGAAATTACACTCCCCTACAGATAGACATCTGATTTCCAGCTTGTGTTTTTAGCTCCATGTTGTTCATAAACATTTTCCATATTTCCATATAGTCTTTCTGGATATCAGTTGAATCTTCACTGCTTATAGAAGGCAGAAGGGTTTCAATAGAGAAACCTTGGGAGATTTGGATCAGTAAAGGAACAAACACAAAACGGTTCTGTGTCTTCTGCAGCCGCCTCCGTTGCCTTCCCAGGCTCTGGATGGGTAATCGGGTTGTTCTCTGCACAGAGTTTATATATTGCTCTCTGTTAACCAGACAGTTTCATTAAATTAATCCATCATGGGGTGAGTGCCATTTAACTAATTGTGTCTTTAGTGTGGGATATTTGTTATTTCTTTGTGTAGTTGTTCCTGTAATTAAGATAAGAACAGACATCCACTGAGGTGCTAATAGTTATTTTTAAAATATAACAAAATGAATGATGCAATTTAAAATAAGACCTCTAACAGAAACTCTCCTTATGTATTCTGCAACAGTGCATGAGTGGCGGAAGTAGCTACCAGTTATGTAATCAGACCTTGAAACACTTCTTTTGACTTTTTTCCTAACAATCAGAAAGAATGATCACATTTGTCTTAACATTTGATTCTGGGTTGAGCATTTATAGTTTCTGGTTTTCACTCTGTATTCGGCATGGAGTTTACCGAGCACTCGCGTGAGGTACAGAGAGAGGATGAGACCCATTCAAGGGACGTTCCTCCTCCTCCTCTCTGCAGGCTCTGACTGTCAAGTTCATGTTGATGACTGTCTAACTGCCCTGCCTCCTCTCTAGGAAACTCGCATTTCTCCCACGTACACAAATACTCTTCCAGACAGGATGTCACAGAACCATTCCTCCACATTTCCAAAAGGGAAAAATAGTCGTTTGAGCAGAGCATGACAGACCGCAGGGTGATTATATAATGATCCTGAAAAACAAAACACAGGCACACAAGCACAACAGTGCTGCCAACTCGGGCCGCCGTTTGCACAAAGCAGGTGGAGAGGAAATAGCTGCAAACAAGAATCCGAGTGTGGCCTGGATAAGAACGCTCAGGGCATCAGAATAGCAGAGCCAGGGGCCGGCTTTGTGGGTGTGGCTGCCTTCTGTGATACCGTATGAGCACAAGTTGAAGTCCCGGCTGCTCTGCTTCCCGTCCAACTGCCTGCTGATGGCCTGGGAAAAACAGTGGAGCATGGCCCAAGTACTTCCATGTGGAAGACCCAGAAGAAGCTCCTGGCTCCTGGCTTCAGCCTGGCCTCACCTTGGCCGTTGTGGCCTTAAGGGCACTGAGCCAGTGGATGGAAGATCCGCCCCCCACCTCATAGCTCTGATCTTCAAATGAACGGATAAATCTTTTCAAAATATAGAGAGAATAGTGCAGCCGTTGGCAAAACATAAAGAGCACAGCTGTCCTAGGAGAGGCTAAGTCAGTGACCTGGTGGACGGGGACACACCCAGCACTGGGGTTGTCCCAGGCTTTCTGTGAAAGACGCAAGCCCGCTCACGCTCCCCAGGCCAGCTCCCGCCCCACCCTTCCCCACGGGCGTCCTGCTCCGTCCTCAGTCTCCGTGTGCACCCAGGAATCTGAGGTTTCCTTCTCATCCAGAGCTGTGCTAACCCGAGAGCCAGAGTTCCTTGAATCACAAGCCTGGTTTCTTAAAAGTTCCTTGCAAGTTTCCCTTTCACAAGTCTCCAACTGTAAAGATTCCAGCTGAAGACACAGTGTGTGTTTTTTGAAAAGGCAGGGTTTGACCTGCAGAGGGGACGTCAGAGTGATGGACTGCATATTGGCCTATGCCGAAGTACGGAGTTCTTGATTTCCTGCAGACTCAGGGCTTCCTCAACCCTCTAATCTCAGTCTACTCACCAGTGAAATGGGTATAGCAATATGTCTTCTTCCCAGGGTAACTGAGATACAACAGACAGGATTTTAATGTCTGAATGGTCCTGGATCCAGAGAGAGCCAAGAGACACGTGGGCTCAAGTTCCTTAAGGGAAAATGAGGCCCGGTAAGAAGTCAGCACCAGACCCATTTCAGAGGATGTTAGCACACCCATATGAGGTCGATTTGTAAGTTAGAAAGCAGCGTAATTATATTCAAGTGTCTGTGTGTGGGTCCAGGCGTTTCAACCACACTTCGTTGCTAGCACTTGGAATCTTCTGCAAGACGCTAAGACAGTTCTGTCCCTATTTCTAGTCTAGACTGGCAGTGGTGTGCTCTGACCGGCTCCCTCTAACATGGAGTGGCCTTGAGCGGAGGGTCGGGGCCGGGACTGAGGGGTCTGGAGAAAGCCCATTCATTCACGTCTTGTCTTCTTTCAGCGCACAGATACTGAATATTGGAATTTTGGACATCTTTGGTTTTGAAGAATTTCAAAAGAATGAATTTGAGCAAGTGAGTAGTTTTTCTTTTAAACTTTTCTGAACTGTAATAACCTGTTTCAATTCTTTGCTAATTTTTTTTTTTACTTTTTTTTTTTTACTTCAGTGACAATTGTTAACATAATTTACTTTCAAATGTAGAATCAAAGTCAGGACTTTACCCTCATGTTATGAATGAATATCGCAGGTTTGCTCACCTCTTCAGCATTTCTGTGTGGCCTCACACACAGATGGAAGGCTCCCACACTGGGGAATGCCACTTGTCTTCGAAGACAGCGCAAGGTGAAGACCTGAGTTGTGTTTAGGAAGGGCTACTTCTGCAAGGCAGAGGGAGACAGGACACAGGAGTCCTAGATCAATGCAAAGGTCTCTGGAAACCCTGGGCAAAAGTCAGAATGGAAATCCTCTGTTGCTGTTCGGGGATTCGTCTCGTGTGACATCCGTGCAGGGGACAACTGGACAGTCATATATCTGCCAAGTGTTAGCTATTTCTAATTCATCTACAATTTAGGGCATTTTAAAAAGTACTAAGTTATTTAAGCATCTTAAATACAACTTCTTTTTATCAAATTAAATATGTCCAAAAATTCAGTGTTAAAGAAGAACATGGAAATACCTTGTGGCGTAGCCTGCAGAAAAGGGAAACACACAGCTAGAAAGACAGAAAACCTGCATTGTTTCCAGGAGGAGCTCTACAAGGCCACGCGTGCAGCAAACTCTGATGCCTGTGTAACTGGTTTGGCCTGCTTTCTCAGGGTAGATGAGTGACTAATGACAGCGGAAATGAGACTGAATAGGATGTATCTGAAATCTGATTCTATGCTGTGTGCAAGCGGCACTTTCCCAGCCAGCAGAGGAACGGTCTCCTGATTCGTAGGACTGGGGCAGTAACGGGTTGGTGGAGTTGTGCAGTCGTGACGGATGTGTGAGCGCAGATGCCCTGCTGTCATTCTCTGTCACAGCGGACGTGGGTAGCTGTCGTCACTGATGTCAGTAAGGACACTTAGAGACCTTGTCCCGGTCAGCCTGTTTGTTTCTGGGAGAGCCGGCTGCGTGCAGCTCCTCCGTCCTGCTGACTCACCCAGCTCACCTGGCTCAGGTGAGTCAGCAAGAACCCAGCTCCCTGCATGACGTTGCAGAAGTCCAGTCGGAAAGAACAAGGAGGCCTGACGTTTCTTTTCTCTTCCTGCTTTTCCGGGGATCCATAGGAAAGGGAAACCTTTGTGTTTCGTGGTGATCTGTCACCATGAGTAGAACAGCAGTCAGCTGGCCATGACCTGCGGAGCCCACAGCGCCCGTGGCCCCTCTGCAGGCCGACCCGGAGGGCAGCTTCGCAGGCTGTCGGCACCGGCAGCATCAGGTTGCCATGGAAACACACACACACACACACACACACAGCCAGCGCTTGTCCCTGACCTGGTGGGTGACGTCACATGACGTCCCTCCCCGTCCTTGGCTGTCGCTCTGCACCCAGACACGGCGTTGGTGCTGTGGCTGCAGTCTGGCCTCCCAGCCCGTTCCCGCTCACTTGTTTCACTACAGTTAGGTGAACCCATTAACCCATTGTTCTCCCTTGTGGGGAGCAAACCGGACTAGACTGAGTTACTGGAATTAAGACTTATTCTATGCATCTGCTCTCCCACAATATGGCGCTGGGAGAGAAGTAAACAGCTTCCGCACAGCTGCCTCCAGTTCAACTAATAAACTGTAGGACTTGCTCCTGATTGGAGGAGAGCAGCGTACTCGGCGTGTGGGCAGCCGAGTTAGGATTGGCGGAGGAGGACTATAAAGGAGGAGAGAGACGGCATGCACCAGGAACATCTAAGGGGAACATCTAGCTGAAGGAACACCTGTGCAGCCCCCGAAGAGAGCCGGCCGGTGGTGTGCCGCTCCCCTGCGGAAGTGGGGAATGTGGCCAGGGGGAACTGCCCTTCCACGGAGGTGGAAGGGATAGTAGCCAACCCGGGAAGAACCAGCAGCAAACCCGCGGAGGGCCGAGCAGACAAAAGAACAGCGCAGGGTTTGGTGTCGTTCCCCCATGAAGACGGGGAGCGACATAATGGTGCCGTGACTCGGATAGGAAACCTAGGACGGATAGGAAACTTAGGAGGGAAGAAACGGGAAGAAGTGGGAAAATACCGGAGAGAGAGACTAGCAAAGAGCCTAGGTGCCGGAAGAAGCTATTGAAAGCCTAGGCATAGACTCGGATATGGACTGTGGGAAAGAAGTTAGGATTGAAAGCGAAAGTGAAAGCTTTCATAGACTCAGATGCGGACTATGGCGGGGAAGCTAGGAGATTGAAAGCGAAAGTGAAACCTGGAGGAGGCTTGGACTCGGATACGGACTGTGGGGAGTAGCCAGGAGAAATGAGAGGAATATTGTTGGAAGAAAACTTAAGGAAACATACCGGGTAGAGAAAAATGTTGGGGAGGATGAGGCCGCGAGTGCAGGCCGAGGCGGAGATATAAGCCACCTTGGAATTCTTCAAGTCACCCCGGGGAGCAAGAGGCGAAGATCTGGAACCAGAGGCAGAGACGTGGGCCGCCAGGTTGGAATTCGCCAGGTTAGTCCGGGGAACTTGGACTGAATGCCAGTGGTGGCGGAAACATTCGCGGAAGCCGCCGCGTGCAGAGAGAGCACGGGGAGTGAATAGATGGGGAACGTCGGGGCTGGCACGAGGCCGTGGTGCGGGCGCGAAGTGCGTGGAGACCGCGGAGCGTGCGCGCAGAGCCGGGAACCCGCCGGCGGGGCGAGGCGCCGGGAAGCCGCGCAGAGCCCTGAAGCTGCCGCGGGGCGAGGCACCGGGAAGCCGCGCAAAGCCGGGAAGCCGCGCAGATTGGAGAAGCGCGGGCTGAAGCGGCTCAGAGCCGGGAAGCCGCCGAGAAGCAGTCTCGGGGCGGGCGCCGGAAAGCCGCAGGGATAAGAGAAACAGGAGTTTAGAAGTAAAGTGAGAGAAATAGGAATGCTGGAAGATAGAAGTAAAATGGGAGAAATAGGAATGCCCGGAGATAGAGAAATAGAGAAATAGAAAGGCCTCCCCTCAACATGGCAACGAGAAAGTTTGGATTCGGTCTGCCTGATTAAGTGAGGCGATGAGCACCTGGGCGGCTAGCAGCTTATGCGCCGCAGGTCACCGAAGACAGGCACGAATTAACATCAGTAAGGCTTCCCCACAATGTAACAATTAGGAGGCTTGGATTCGGTCTGCCTGATTTAAGGCGGTAAGCGCCAGCAAGCAGCTCGACCAGAGTATGAGCTGCAGGTCACCGAAGATAGGCACGAACCAACACTAATAAGTCTCCCCCACAATAAGGCAATGAGAAGGCTTGGATTCGGTTTGCCTGATAGAGCTTGTAAGCCCCTGCGGGCAGAGCAGAGCATGCGCTGCAGGGCACCGAACACAGGCACGCATCAGCGCCTAAAAACCTCCTCACAACATGGCGAAGAGAGGACCCGGATTCGGTTTGCCTGATTGATAGGACTTGTAAGAGCCTGTGGCAACTCTAGCAAGTAGAGCAGAGTGTGTGCCACGGGACACCGAAGACAGGCGCGTATCAACGCCAAAAAATAAAAAGAAAGGGGGATCTGTGGGGAGCAAACCGGACTAGACTGAGTTACTGGAATTAAGACTTATTCTATGCATCTGCTCTCCCACAATATGGCGCTGGGAGAGAAGTAAACAGCTTCCGCACAGCTGCCTTCCAGTTCAACTAATAAACTGTAGGACTTGCTCCTGAATTGAGGAGAGCAGCGTACTCGGCGTGTGGGCAGCTGAGTTAGGATTGGCGGAGGAGGACTATAAAGGAGGAGAGAGACGGCATGCACCAGGAACATCTAAGGGGAACATCTAGCTGAAGGAACACCTGTGCAGCCCCCGAAGAGAGCCGGCCGGCGGTGTGCCGCTCCCCTGCGGAAGTGGGGAATGTGGCCAGGGGGAACTGCCCTTCCACGGAGGTGGAAGGGATAGTAGCCAACCCGGGAAGAACCAGCAGCAAACCCGCGGAGGGCCGAGCAGACAAAAGAACAGCGCAGGGTTTGGTGTCGTTCCCCCATGAAGACGGGGAGCGACACTCCCTCCCGCTAGATGATACAGTTTAGAATAGAGTCATGGGCTGACATTTGTGTGTCACAAGAACTGACATTTTGTTCAAGTCTAAAGAGTGAATCTTTGCGAAACACCTAAAGCTAGTTTTAGGAATTTATGGATAAAGATTATTGGATAGAAATTATGAAAAAAGATAATTTTTAAGATTTATTTATTTATTTGAAAGAGTCACAGAGCGAGAGAGAGAGAGATCTTTCATCTGCTGATTGACTCCAAATGGCTGCAATGGCCTGGGCTGGACCAGGCCAAAGTCAGGAGCCAGGAGCTTCATGCACGTCTCATACGTGGGTGCAGGAGCCCAAGGACTTAAGCATGTCCACTGCTTTCCCAGGGCATCAGGAGGGAGCTGGACTGGAAGTGGAGCAGCCCAGACTCAAACCAGTACCCATATGGGATGCTGGTGCTGCCACCCAGCCTTAACCTGCTATAACACAGCGCGGTTCCCAGAGATAAATATTATTTAAAAAGCATTAATAGGTTTGTTTTACTATTATGCACAATAGCAACTAGACATGGAAGGGACATTATTTTTCCAACCTGAATTTGCATATCGGTGTTTATACAGGTCACTGTTTTGAGTGATCCATCCTAGAGTCCTATGTCATTAACACAAGCTGGATTTCTTATTTTTTATTCTTCTGCAAACTTCAAATACTTAACAAAGTAATGCTATATTCAGAATCAAACCTAGAACAATGTTAATGCTTTTATAAATGTGTATTTTACCCTGTTAGGGGTCCAGGGGCTCACCTGTCAGCTGTTGGCAACAATGTCAGCTCCATGTGCCGCAGTCACGTCTGAAATGGCAATTTGTGTATAATAGAAATTTAGTGAATGTCTTTTCAATCGGAATTTAAGAAACAGCAAACTAACGTAAGAAAAGACTTGGGTTTCCTAGTGGTTTTCCT